GATAAATAGACAGAAATTGTTTCCCGCGACGAACAATCGTTTTGATAATGACTACTATCCAATAATTCGTATTACACATACGAGAATATGTAAAGCCTACAACTTCTAGATAATCAAAATAAATTCCTCGATAATTATGACACTCCTACGATGAGCAATCCTCGATCCGACAACGTATTCGTCACTGTATGTTTAAATAATTCAACGGCTAAACAAACGAAATAAATTGCTTCGTAAATGTTGATGAGAGGAGACAACGTTACGGCCAGAAACTGTAAGTCCGTTTCAGCAATAAAATATCGGTGAAACTATGAACCGTTCAGAGCCGCGCAACTTCCAATTGAAAAAGTTTCGCCGGGAATAAAACATGCGGGAAATGTTTGGGGCTGTAATGTCGGGGCGGAGACAGACCCGTATAAATGAAACAGCGAGTTCGGTTTAAAAGCACCCCCGGACTAAAATGATAAAATAAAAAGAGGAAGGAGGATTCGTCTGGGCGAGCGGTATCCTTTTCATCGAGCCGAGCCGCTCGAATATTCGTGACGAGAATCTCCGCAGACGCGTTAAAGTATACTTAATTAGCGACCGCTAATTACCCGGCAGACGTGCACGCGACTATCTATTATACACCGCCGCTCAAAAGCTGCGGCTTAACCGCTATATGCAAACAAATACGCGGAACTGGGAAAAATTTACGGGTTAAATATTCCAGGTATTTTAAATACCTGTCGCTGTACAGGATAAAATTAATTGCGAAACTCGATGTTTGGCTGTTTGTAATTTCCCTATAATTCTGTATCGAAGGTATAGACAAAATTGCTCTAAACTAACATAGTCGTTGTTATTATTAATAAGACAATAACAGTATTTTTGATATCATCATGTTCCCTTTCATTCCTATATTCGTTGTATTCATTTAATTACGTTCAAATACATTTTTATTTGAATATTAAAAGACGAAATCTTTTTGGATTATTTTACCTTAATAATAATACATCGAATTTCTTCGAATATTTCAATTTCAAATTTATTCGTATTTAGGTGTTGATTGAATGAATCAATGGAGAAAGAGCAACATTTTTCGTCAGCATTTGAAATATTTTATCTAAACTTCTAAGCTCCGGAATCACAACTTTTTAGAGGCGTTGTACTCGAAAACGATGGCGTTGCGTCGTAACGAACGTGCCCCGTTACTTCTGGCTAGTTCGTTTATGAAATCCTTGGTCGAATGCACTTTATCGTTGCATAATTTCGTGAGCGCCAAGAACGCGCGCGCGCCGCATTAATTTGATTAGTAATGGGGAACAATAACCGTAATACGTAGCCGAAACGGAGATAACTATAATCACCAAGGGGGATGGAGCGGCGGGGGTTGTTTCCCTTGATCACTTTCTTGCCCCCGGCCCTCGACGGACTCTCTCTAATTTCGCAGACAGCTCGTTGCAGAGATTCTTATCTTCGGCTCGGTATTTACCAAGGCGAACATACTAGGCGTTTGCTCGCCGAATGCGAAACGCTTCGACGAACGAAGATGCTGTTCCCTCCCAACGGTAGATCCGCAGAGTCAACGGATGCGACTGTATATCTGTATCCCGGAGACAAGTTAAACGTGGAAATTATGAGATAAATGTGTTGAATGGGGTATTAAGCGAGAACTATGAGTAAATATGGTATCAGGCTCCATTTACTCGGTGTTGATACAAGCAACATTTTGAAACGTTACGACTGAACTGCAAATTTTCATGCTTTCGTAAGAAACTTGAATACGCAAGAAACTACAAACGCGGTATGGGATAATATAAAAAAAAAAATATCGAAAGTAAAGTTCGTATTGTAATATTACCAGAGTAAAATAATTTTATTTTGCGTATAGATCCGCGAGCTAGTAGCGACAAGTCACCCAATTTATCGCTCGAGCTAATAGAACCGCTGGTTGTCGTGGGAATTTTCAAGAAAATTAATCGATCCGTGTGATAAGCAGAGCAACTGATCCCAGACGCCACAGACCCGTGACGCGATAAAAAGTTCGCCACTCCCTCGCAATGCCACTCGAAACGAATTATTCAAAACGTATTTCATTACGCGGCGTCCTCGCGGGAGCAATATCAACGAAGAAAAACTGCTGAAAAACAACCCCGTTTCTCCATTAATGAAATTTATTGCACAAGACGAGCACTCCCCGGGAGACGACGTTCTAAATCATAGAATTGAAATTGAACGATGAAAATTTTAACGAGGATACTTGACAAATATGAAATTCTAAAACAACAGATGTCCGATAACTTATGCAGACAGTGCTTTCCACTGAGGAATTTAAAAAATTCATTCCGAAAATCGTATATCGAAATTCGTGAATTTTTACGCAGTTACAAAAATAAACGCCACAGTAAATGATGGATTATATAATTTCCAGTGATCTAAATAATATTTTCTCTTAGCAGAAATTTTCAAGAATATTCGTTTGGCAATCGACGTGTTAATACTAATCCTACTGTACTATTTTTTTTTTAACTGTTCTAAGAATTTCAAATATTTGTCCTGAGTCATAGGAAATTGTTTATGTCATTTTATGGTGCAGTCCAGATGCTTGAAACTTTTCTAACGTTATCAGAAAAAGTTACTTCTCTCGTTAGCCCCTGTCGATAAACGAAACGAAGCTTGTCTTCTACTTCTCCTTTGTCTTTCTTTTTTTTTTTTTTCTGCTGGTGTCACGGCGTGCAGCACACGAAACGCGTCCGTTAGGTGGGAACGTCGTTTTGCCTCGTTTCCTTCTCGTTTTCACGGCGTCGCGGACGTGTGTCAACGAGCCGATACGTGTGCCATCTCGCATTTTACTTTTTCGCGTGACAACCTTCACGAAAATACCGAGACATGCGCGCTAAAACCTGAAAATTGCGCGAGGAAGCTCCTTTGGCGACGGTCGCTGAAGATAATTTGCGAAGCAGGCTGAAAGCATGATCGATATCCGATTAACGACGCATGAAACGTTCGATCGCAGTGTTTTGGGACTATCTGGGTTTTTTAACTAGATGCATTTGAAAGTCAATTACATTTATTTTATTTTGAAACAATAATAGACAATATCGTGCATTCTATGTCTTAATATGCATTTCATTTTATAAGTACATGTATTTTATATCGAATGAATTACAACGACACGTGTAATGATAAAACGAAATACGTATTATGAAATAGAATACGCGTCATTGTTTAAATTCATTTTATTTGCGAAAACCTGATCAATGTTTTTCATTGAGCTCCAACGCGTTTCGCTATATTAAAAAGTATAATTTGTAGAAAGATTATTGCAACTAAATGCGAACCCCTATGAATATTGATGAATATTTTTTGTTGGAACCTGCACGGAATTTTCACATCACTGGCAGATATTTAACGATCCATCGGTTCATTAACACGCTAGCGGAGGAACATTATAATAATTTCCCGCTAGCAATTTCGTCGTACTTTGCGCACGATTTCGATGGCTCGCGTACCGACGCGACGTACGGATGTTTAAACGAGTTCGCAACGAACCATTCATTTTCGACATAATTTCGTCGCGCTGTTTCTAAATTTATAACTAAATTATTAACTTGAATACGTGTACCGTGCCATGCGTTTATATCGATTTATAACAGCCATTACAGTGAATAAAATAATCTCAAGGACGAAGTTAAATGAAAATATTTCTCGTGTGATATTTCACGAGTTCGATGGTTTTTAATTCAATCTATATATAAAATCAAAATTCATCGTCAACGTTGCGTAAGTCAAATAGAAAAAAAAAAACAGCGATGGGGTTATCAAACATAACGAAATTTTTCAAGTCTTTGTCGCAATTGCGAAATATACGAACGCAAGTTCTCGCCAGCGAGCGATCAAGTGCCTTGCTCGTTGAAGTACCATTTTTGTCCTCGATAACATATTATTTCTTTTTTTTTTTTTTGTTACGTTCTAACTTTAATTAAAATTTTTTTAGTTCACTCATCTTTTGGAGCTACGTCACTTTAATTAATTTCTTTTTTTGATACGATGCTGATTAATAATTGGACGCCGTAGGAAGGAGAGTTTGTCCAATGCAGAGTACAGCTGCATTTTCGCGAGATGCATATTACGAGTGCCGCATTTATCATCGATCGCGCGCAATTCGTGCTTACGAACGGCTATTCCACAATTTCGTGAAACTTTCCACGACTATCAGTTCCGACAAGGAAACTGGCAAACTTATGGCTGTACTCGCGTGCTACGTAAAGCCTCGTAAAATGTCTTCACTCTGTCGTTCCCACGATTATTAAATCTATATCTAAACAGTCGATATTTTATTACGATTTTCATATCTCTACCGCTGAACACGTTTTGTCTGCCAGACAAACATTCTTGAAAACTTCTGCTGGAATTAAATATTACTTCGACCATTGAAAGCTACGTAATTAAATTCACTCAAATTCGTTTCCTTCGATACTTTACTTTTAGAATTAATTTTGTTAGTCCTCCGGTGAAATTTCTACAAAACATCCAGTGGCAACTGTGGCATCGAAGAGCGGTTTCCATAAGCTAGCAAGTGATTTACCAAACGAATCAGTGCAGCGAAAGTTTCCGTATTCGGCGAAGTTAAAAAGTGGGATGAAGCACGATTGAACCCAAGTGTAGTTTCCACGAGACGATTGGTTAACGCGAAACGTCGAACTCGTTCGAAGCGCGAAACTTGCGTGTATATTTGAAAGATGGTACAGATCGGAGATTTGATCGCCATCATGGAGGAACGTGACTTCGACAGAGACACCATCGATACGGACTCTTTGGAGTTCGAGGTAATAGCTACGTCTCAAATTCCGACAAAAACCAAAATTCTATCACTTGAAAATTGAAATTGTAAACTATTACTGCGTTTCGATAAGATAGAGACGACGCGGCAGAGAAACTATTTTCAAGAGACCTGCCGGCATAAGTTAATCCCATTCGCTTTCGTTGCACTGAAAATGCATTTCGCGTTATCGCAGGCTATACACTTGTCGTCGTGCCCGAAGCAGCTGGATCTCAGCAACGGGGGACTGTCAAGAATTCCCGACAGCGCTGTAGCGTTCCCCGCCATAGAGGAGCTGGTGTTGAGCCAAAATCAACTTACAAACACCAACAACAATCTGACGCTTCTGCACAGGTACGGTGTTAAAGATAAAGTTTGAAATCGTTCGTTTCCAAAAATAATTCCAAGAGTGTAACAGCAGAAGATACAAAAATCTGCTCCACACTTTAGTAAATAAGAAACATAAGTCTAAGAATAATTCTAAGAATAATTCTGACAACTTTTCGTCGCACAGTTTTATTATTGAAACTGTTACTGCTACAACTCCTTTAACGGTGGATTTCTTTTAACGAAGGTTCCCTAAACTGCACGTTCTTCACGTGGATGGCAACGAACTGCTGAAAATTCCACGAGAATTGCTGGAGCTCAGGGGACTTACCTACCTCAATCTTTCGGACAACAAAATCGACAGGGTCCCGTCTGACATAAGCCAGCTTATCAAGTACGTAAAGTGAATTTTATCAGATTTCGATCGACGAACCGTGTCCTCCAACTACGGCGTTGGAAAGAAAAAAATACGCGAAAGTATCTCATTTAACACTAAACTTGTCACGGTTCTTGTATGCAATATATAAGTTGTATGCATTATATACGATCGTTTCGCGCATTATTCGATCCAGTATAATATTTCTCGTGTGATATTTCACGAGTTCGATGGTTTTAATCTATATGTAATATCACAATTCATCGTCAACGTTACGTAATTCAAATAGAAAAGAAACAGCGAAGGGTTGTCAAACAAAATATTTTTGCATTTAATTGAAGAAGCGTCTTTAGAACTAGTCACTTGTCCCATTTCTGTTGAAACAGTTACAAATAAATGAGATTTAGTGTCAACGTTAGTAAATAAGCATCGATTTCGCTATTATCGTCTTATCGTTACACGAAAAACCGCTGCTTTTCTGATCGCTGAACGGTGCACGATTCCAACAGTTTGTTCGCTGATACTGTAGGGTGCAGTTCAATTTCCACAGGTAATCTGAGTTTATCGCGTCGCCGAATCACCGATAAATCAGTGGTACTTCCGCTCCGCGAGATAATAGAAAGTTACCCGTTAATTAATCGAACGAACCGCCGTGCTGGATATATTATTCGTCGATTTCCTTGCATCCGCAACGCCCTTACCCAGTCGACGATGCGCTAATTGTGATAAATCGTCTATCCCATGGACAATTGGCCGTGGAACAGGAATCGACACCGATAGTCGAACGTCTTCGAGCTTTGGCGAATCGTTGATCCTTGTCTCGGGGTCACTTGGACTGGCCCACACAAATCCTGTCTCGGTGAAACCCTATCGTACAATTCGTATTTCTGATCCTGTCTCTTCGGTTATTTCCAGCATGATAGACCAGTGAATGCTTGATATTTCGTAATTATAAAAATTAGTATATACGAGTACTAGTCACTTGGACTGGCCCATCCGAATCCTGTCTCAGTGAAACCCTATCGTACAATTCGTAGTTCTGATCCTGTCTCTTCGGTTATTTCCAGCACGATAGACCAGTGAATGCTTGATATTTCGTAATTACATAAAAATGATTATATACGAGTTCTTGCGTGCATGTTTACACGGGGCAGGTCTGGCGCGGGCTCTACGAGTAAGAAAACCCAGGGAGCATCGCGATTATTGGAAAGTTTCGCATTAATTCGCGGTTAGGCTCCTCTTCCTTCGTCGTTTACGCGCCACTGCGCCCCGATGCATGACTTCTGCCAGGCGTGTTGCTCAACTCCATTCTACCGGTGAGCGGCGAGTCGACTCGAGGCTTTGCACTAGCCGTTGTATGCGTCTTTCATTCGTGATTTCTTTTCCCGTGGACGCGTGTGTTCGACGCGTAACAGACGTCCGTGTATCGGTGGGCTCGTGCTCACGTCCGTAGTTCCTCCTTATGCAGGGCTACGGCATCCCCGTTTCCGCTCGGTGGAAAGCAGTTTTCGAGAAGCTTTACGCAACCTCTGCACCTCTTCGCCTATTTAATTAACGCGTGGCTCGACCACCTTCCTCCGGGTCTGTGGGGCACGAATCGCGATCTTTTGAAAACGATGGAACTTTGGATCAGCCAATTGGATTATTTCTGCATGAAGCTTGTAGACGAAGGTCTCTGGAATTGTTTTCAGCGTAATAGAAACGTTTTCGTGCGAGCTCTGATTCGTATTACGCTCCCTCCTTGCTCCTTTCCACCGTGATAAGTATAATAGAAACACTTTTACGTTACGTTCGTTACGACCACCTGTTAGTCCGAACGGCGTGTTACTCTAACGTTGCTCCGGAGAACCTTCTTCCACCATAGTGGATGTAATAGAAGCACTTTTACGTTGGTATCACTTCTACTTATTCCTTCGTTTCGTTTACCGATTATTTGCACCGTGCGGGACTCTTTCAGATGATATTTCGTTAATAAAAATCGCTCTACATTCTGCAGAAGCTTGCACGTTCAGACTCTGAACTTCAGAGTGATCGATAGGAGAGACCTGATTCTTTCGCAATCAGTTGCAGTCGCTGCTTAAGCTCGGACTAGAAATGATTCTCCTCGGGACGGGTCGCGTTACAAATGTCAGGTATTATTTTGAGAAGATGAGTTACTCCGGGCGTCCCAGCTGCGGGAGCTTCGTCGCAATGATACCTTGAAGAAAGGAGTCCGCGAATATGTGGCGTACCAGCGAGAACGTTGTCGTAATTCAAGCTCTCGGGAGGGAACGATGCTTTCGTTGGAGAAAATTGAATTTGTTTGAGTTAAGATGTTTGTAAGTTACCATTCAGCTCGCGGGAGTGTATTCGATTTAGTAGGAGAAAGGAGATCGAATGGGGAACGCGTGGGTCGAATGGATTTAGAAAATAGGTGACGGAAGGGATTAACGCGATTACGTTGCTCGCGTTGTGGAAATTTCACGTTACGTTTTACCTTCGTTACGCGCACGCGCCCATTAATTAAGGACGAAGGTACTGCAACTCCCTCGCCTGACTTTGCGTTTATAGTATTTTTTTTTCTCTCCCGTCACGTGCAATCGCATCGTACGTATATTATACAGCGCGGGGGAACTGAAAGTGGCAATAAGGGTGAAATATTCGAATACTACGGGGAGTATAGAGAGTGAATATCGCTCGATATGATTGAAAGTAATCTTGAACTATTCATGAAAAATTTGATATGTGGATATTCCTCGTTAACAAGGAAAGAAATTGGCCCTGGCCACAGTAATTGCCAATGCTGATTGCATACCACTGAAATTATTCGATAAGAAATCGGATAATCTTCGAATCACAACCGAAACGCGCCTCAAATAACCGACTTTCTTTTGCTTGGAACACACGAAAGATTGAATTTAATTGCTGTTAACAGTAGGATCGTTAAGATTAAATTGAACGCAGTTGTAGAAAATTATACGCAAGTATACTGCTACGAAAATCCTGAAACGAGGAACATTGTTTTTTTTTTTTTTTTTTTTTTTTTTGTGGCAGACCGCTTCCTACTCGACGCGACCGAGCTGTTTCATTATTTATAAGAGAAAGATCACTCGTTCGCTAAAAATGTTTCAATTTCTTTGTCGAAAGAAGAATCTCCAAACGCGGTGCATTCTTAATGCCTCGGTTATTCGAAAGTGAACGAACGAACGGTACTTCTTACAAATAATGAATAATGCCAGCCAACTTCTGGCACGTCGATCCGGAACACCGACATCTCGTTAAATGCGCAAAGACACGAACGGTCTCGGTTCATAAATAAAATTCAAATCGAAGGTCGTGGAAGGATCGGCTGCTTTCCCGCAGCCTTTCTTCCGTTCCAAAGTTACAAAAGAATCGTTTAAAATTTTTAATAGGGTCTCCGGCGTACTGCATGGCCGAGTGTGTCTTGAACGACTACTCCCCCAGTGATAATCAATTAACATCCATTAGCGGACGGAGCGGCGAGCCCCAAACCCGAGTTGGATCAAAAGATAGAAAGGGTATCGTAATCGAAAAGCGACCGAAAGTGCTCCACGGTTCCCCAAAGGGACAGACGAACCGTTTAAAATATTCAGCACGGTCTCTTGGAAGCTGTACCGGCAAGAGGTTCTTAAAGAAGAATCCACGTAACAGTCTCGAGTTTCCCAACTACGGGGAACAAGAACCCTTCGGAAGAAGCGCCATTTAAAAGCTCCTTATCATTGAATTTCTTCTCTTAACGAGCCGCGTGCTCCACATCCGTGGAACAATGGCCAGAGAGGCCACCGAGTGAAACCGTGCAATTACATACCGATCAGACTGTCCAATAAGAAAGAGCGCACATCCCTTGTTAACGTGGTCGTGAACAACCAATAAGCTTATCGAGGCTATCCCTCGACTCGCAGGAGGATCGCATCATCTGCCGATGATTATAACCTTTCGATTAAAAGAAAGGAACGCTTCTTTGCATTCTAAGAACGGAACAGAAAGATTTTTGTATAATTATTCGCATCGATTCTTCTAATTATCCAAGTTAAACAGTACATGGTAATTTTACATTTTCTGAAAAATGAATCCCGAACCAGCAGGAGGATCGTAGTATCCTTTCGAAGAGTCAAATGGTAGCCCAGAATTATTTTGTATCGCATTGGTTGCCCCTTCGTGGTAAAATGGTTCTTTCATCGCAGACGTGTTCCCATCTCGCTAAACGCAACGAAGATGCAACCCGAAGGAGTTGGAAACTTCCGTAACCGTAACTGGGCCGTCGTATCGCTGAATTGCTGAAAGTTAGAGCAACCCGGTGATCGCTGGTACACAACCAGGCCGCGACACGAGGAATTACCATAGCCCCGCTTGGTAGTACCTAGTTGGTACGCCACCACCAGAAGCTAATCTGTCCGTGTTCTGTTTACGTCAGAGTGGTCAGCGATCCTTGGTCTCCCTCTTTCCTTCCTCGAGACAGGAGTAGTCTTGGACATGCTTTGCCTCGCGGCTGACTTCTTAGTAACATGAAGAACTCGCGCGAGCGTGCACCACCTTCTAACCTCGCGAACCTGCAGCTCGCAAGAACCGCCACAGTGCAAGAGAAAATGTGAATAAATTTCAGTGTGTGAATTAGAACTTCTCAAAGTGTTTGGGACACGTGACGAAAGTGTTGGTTTGCCAAATCTTTGGATATTCTTGCTTCGGGAGTCCTACTTGACCCTCCACCGTAACTCCAAATCCAAGAATTAATTAGTACTCTGAGCCGTTTTATTCGCTAGTCGAATTGAATGGACTGTTTTTATTAGATTCCCATTGCAATGAAAGGTTAGAAGGGATTGAAGCATTAGTGAACAATTTATTGAATGATCGTGCGGACACCAGGTGCTCGGAGTATTGTCAGCCAGTGTCTGACGAACCCTGGAAGATCGCTGACGTTCAGAGGGAATCCTTTAGCAAGGTGTACAGTCGGGGTGGACGAGAGAGTACCGACTGGAGACAGTGAATATTTTAATGAATTACGAGCGACTAAGATATGCAAAGGGAGCTTCTTTGAAGATACAGTGTTCTGGATAAGAACCACCCCTGAAGGGAAACTCGAGGGGATAGTACGATATCTTTAGCGACCTCCTCGATTTTTAAACGACAGGTGCAGTCGTCGAGGAATATAGGAAATGTTCGTTAACCGGGTGAGAAATACCTGTGTGTTTGAAAATAATATACGAGAAGTAAAATTGGAGAATATAATTACAAATATCTATTCCCGAAATACCTATTCGTCGAAGGAGCTGTACCCCCTGTAAAACTATGCGTTCTGCTGTTGATACGGTTTCTCTCGTTTCACAATGCAACGATTTCGATTTTACTTAAAAAAAAAACTGAAAGTTCGTCCGATGACACAGATGCTTACTGCCAGGAAGGTTTTCACCATAATTTGAAACTTTCTACTCAAGTGCACATCCTGTGGGCGGCCCGTTTAGGTTCACCGATTCGTTTGTCCGTGCAGCGAGGGTGCAACGTGCATTCACGTCAAACCGCGTTGCATCGTAACTGTAATGCTAATTCATCTTAATTTATTTGATTCGAACGAGATACCGGAAGCGCCGTGCAATTTACGAGCAACGTCAATCGGAATTCTCGTGGAAAACGTGGACTGAAAGTTTAGCTAAAAATAGATTCTAACGTAGAAAATGATAAAATCCTCTAACGAAAGTAGCATGCATGAGCGATTTATTAAATTAAGTCGCGTAACAGTAACTGCGCGCAACCATCGAAGTAAAACCATAAGTAACGCTCGACGTTCCCTTTACGTAATTTACCGAACGCAAAATCGCTCGTAACAGTATTCCTCTTCGTTTTCAGCCTGAAAGAACTCATCCTAGATCGTAATGGCATTAAAGATTTGCCGCACGAAGTCGGCGAGCTGAGGAACTTGAGAAACATTTCCTTGGCTGGAAATTGCCTCAATAGTATACCGTCTTTCCTCAACATGCGAGCCCTCACGCTAACGGTACGTTGTGTTTGTAATTTTTTATGATATTATTAAAGTATTTCGCAATTTGAAATTTGTGCCACGTTACACTGAATAGTCACGGAGTGAAGTAACACGCTGAATGTAGCAATTATTTCGATCAATTAACTTGGAAAAATTTCAAACGTACGCGTCCTAGAAGTCTGGTTTCTAGAAATATCCCAGTTAGTATTATTTAACGAGAAAGGAGTTAGATTGAATGAAACAGTTGTGTACTACTACTACTACTATTCGCACGATAGTTTCCCATAAATAGTATCTCTATTTTTGGTACCCCAGAAATATCCCCGTTAGTATTTTACGAGAATGTAGTAACGAGTTGAATGGAACGATTGTAATGGTTTTCCATTTACGATGTTTATAAATACTTTGCATAGTGCATATATTTGTAAATATTAGAGAGAGACTTCTCCCACCTGTAAGTATTCTGTTTTTTATTCGATAATGACCCAGCTTTCGCCGGGCACGAAAAAAATTAGTCTATAGACTCATCAATTGTTCCCCTCCACGGAAATCTTTAGTAAAAGGCGAAAGATTTATGCGTGATTTGAAGGGAAACCAGAGTGACGTACCTTCGTTTCGGTCGGGCTTATATCTACCAGGGAGCACGTTTTGCTCGCGAGAAATCACTTGAGTTGGGAGCCACCTAGTGGTGGCGTGGAACAACACTCCGCTGCCAGGGCCGTCCATACGTAAACAGACGCCATGCACACTGAAAATTTAAATAAATGCGTTCATACGAAAACTTGTACACTGTATATTATTATTATTTTCTATTATTATTAATAGAAGACAATGTCTTCTTTTTTTTTTTTTTTTTTTTTTGTGAACAACGAAGAATGTTTATGTAGGAAAGTAAAAATTTTGTAATTGTCTCAGGATGTTTTGTCGAAGACCGACAATGCTAAAGTGTACAAGGACGAGAGAAATAATCAAAATTATTTGTACAAAGTCAATCTGCGGAACAATCAATTGAAGGGAAACATCATTCTTGGAAATTATGGGGTGAGTACAATACTATACAATCATGTGATTAATGTATCGTCCAGACAAGAATCAGTGACCATTTCCGTTTCTATTTTTGCTTCAATCAAGAATTTAACGCATCTAGACGTCAGTGAAAATAGCATTGAAAAATTGGACATCAGTGCCCTTCAAGAATTAAGAAGCGTCCGTTGCGCGCGAAATATTTTAACAGAACTGACCGTCTGTGGGAGAAACCTTGTTTCGCTTATCGCTGGAAATAACAGTAAGGTTCTTTGTTTTTCAAACCTGGGTAAAATAAAAGGAATGTTGAAAATTTAATCTCGTACGAATACAACATTTTTACAGAACTGAAGAAATTAACTATCGAACCTGTGCCAATCAATCTCGAACATTTAGACGTCTCTTAGTAAGTACAAGCATCGTTAAACGAGACCTTGTGTACACAAAATTAATATTCCTTGACGTTAAACGAATATATATTGATTTCAGCAACAACTTAGACGCCCTTCCAGAATGGACACCGGATCTTCCAGTGTTGCGTGCTCTTTTTGCATCTCACAATGCCCTAACAGCCCTTCCGGATCGACTGCTAACGCAACCGTCGAGGCTGGAAGTTCTTCACCTGCCCCACAATAGACTCCAAGCCCTTCCACCACCCAGGAAACCACTGAATATTGTTCACTTGACTCTGCAAGACAATGCGTTGACAGCCCTACCAACGAGCTTCTTTGCAAATACAGAAAAGTATGACAGGCAATTTCATTTCTCCCCGTCGCTAATTAAAAAAATAACGAAACGACGATGGGTTTCTTTCCCTCAGAATGAAAGTCCTGAATCTCTCCAACAATCGACTGTCCGAACTTCCGCACTTGGTCGAAGGAAGCAGAAATCGACACGGCAACCACAGCTTGGAAAAACTGTATCTCACCGCCAATTGCTTAACGGATACCGCTTTGGACACTCTCGCACAGCTCGCGTCCCTGCGAGTTCTTCATATAGCCTACAACACCTTGGACACGCTTCCTGAGAGGTAGCCCGAGTAGTTTCAGAATTTATTTCCACGTATCGCGACGAGCAAACGGTGTATTATAGACATGCGCTTGCAGTTGCACAGCATCGTGGAGAGATTTAGAAGAGTTGGTGCTCTCTGGGAATCGTCTTCAGTACCTTCCGGACAACGTAGCCAACCTGCGTCATTTGCGCGTGTTGCGCGTTCATTCCAACCGACTTCTGACTTGTCCCACATTCAACAAGACGACATCCTTGAAGGTAACGGCACGTTTCAATCTAATAGAACAAACTCGAAGAAACGTACGACAGACTAAATAAATAAACACCGCGTAGGTATTGGACTTGGCCCATAATCAACTGGACAGGGTGAATCTAGCTACCTTGGTGCCGCCCCAACTACAGTTCCTGGATATATCCTGCAATTCGAGGCTTCACGTGGACCCTAGACAATTCCAAGTGTACAGATCTCAGCGACCGATATCGCTGGTCGACGTGTCGGGACAGAACAGACCGAGTCTACCTTCTCATCCTCATCAACAGGAAATCGTTTCCGCGGAGAAGGGCGCGGAGCAACCGTGGAGATTGGGATTTTCGGAAACAGCTGGGTCCAGGGAGAGGTGATGTCGACCGGCGTTCACTTTTCACGTTTAAATTATTGATCTCTCGAGTTCTTATTCAACTGTTAATTTTCGCGCGCAGATTATACGTCTCGCAAGTTCGAATGCCGTCGTTTTGCAACGTGGAAGGGCTGTTCGGTATATTCGACGGTGGTTCGAACCAGGAAGCACCGAGCGCTCTTCAAGAAATGATACCGCGTCTATTGCTGGAGGAAAGAACCGTCAGGGAGACGTCGAAGGAATACTTGAAGTACACGCTACTCTCGGCTCACAGAGAGCTGAAGGAGAAAGGTCAGAAATACGGAATCGACGCTACTCTGGTGCACATAATCGGAATTCAATCGCAACAAGGTTTCCCGAAGGCACCTACGAGGTACTCGTTGAAGGTGGCATCTTCGGGAGACGCGAAAGCGGTACTTTGCAGGGCAGCTGGCCCGTTGACCCTAGCTCCGGCCAAGAAAGTTCCTGTCAAAAATCAATTAGGCAACGCAGCCATGTTCCCTTTAGTGGTCCCTGACCCGACGTTCGAGGAAGTCGATTTAGAAGACGACGACGAGTTCGTGATAATTGCCAATCGACGGCTGTGGGAAGTATTGAGCGTACAGGAAGCTGTACGAGAAGCCAGGGCAGAGGCCAGTCCTGTCTTGGCAGCAAAAAGGCTTCAGGATCTGGCGCAGGCCTATGGCGCGGAGGATAACTTGAGTGTCGTAGTCGTCAGGCTAACGGGGCCTAATCAAGGCGACTTGGATCAACTCATGAGAGAACTGAGGCACGCTGTTGGCAAAAATAGAGGCCAAACCGAGGGAGGATGCCCTTGCCACTGTTGCGTACCACCTGCGGCTCACAAACCACCCGGACCCTGCTGTTGTCACTCGAACGAGGGGTATTACTTGAACGGGGTGTTGAAGAATATTGTAAATAGGTGAGAATGCTTGGCTAACCATAGCTCTAGTCATCCAGTATGTACAGTATTGTCTCGAAATAAGCAACTGCTTTCTATCTCGAAATAACCAACTCGCTATCCCCACTTTTTTAATTGAAGTCGAGTGAGAGATGAAAAGTAAGAGACCCGTGAAAACGTGAAGCCATAAATTTAAACCGACTGAACAGATTAATGTAAAAAGCCCAGAATACGTGTAATGTTTTCTCTTTCCCTGATGTCTGTATTCTCCGAAATACTACGGTTCGATTTTACTAGTGCCAAAATGAGAAATCATGTTATCTTCGCGTACACTTTATGGTTTGCCGCTAAACGAAACCCCCTGTTTTGCCTACGGGTTCCCCTTCGTCATGCTCGTGAACGAAGTCAAACCGAATAGCATACATCCCTCGAAGTAAGCAACTCGGACCGGCAAGATGATACTGTACTTTCACTTAAACTAATGCATACAAAAATATTTAACATTTCAGGACAAATAAGCCGCACAACGGATCCGGTAGATACTTCAAAAATCGTCGACCCGCGCAAGAGAACGAGAGTCCACCGTACAAAGACGACAGGAGTTCTCCAAGTGGCCAGTCCGATCAAGCCAGTGATAGCACTTTTAAATCGCGACATCCTTCGAGTAGAGTCTGGTCCGGAAGCGCCGCTTCCAGAGCCACGAACAAAGCTCGTCAAAGTGTGTTCGTGCACGAAAATGGCACGAGAAAGGTAAAACACGACGTGCATTTTGATTTACGGGGGCTAGTTACAGGACTAGGCTCGAAGTCCAGAAATATTCTTACAGGTATCAACTTCCCTCGCTGCCCAAGAAGACACCGTGTCCGAGCGATCCGGCGCCCTCAGCGAAGAACAGTTCCGGTGTTGGGAGTACATGCTGGAGCAGAATACGCAGCTCTTGTTCGACAAGGAACTGGACACCTTAACGAGAACTCCTCTTCGTCGGGGACAATCGAGATCCACGCCTCAATTAGGAGGCAATTTACCCTTTCTGTCGAAGAGATTCGGGAGCGCCAGATCCTTTAATCCTTCCGTCCCGCGACCTCCTATCGTGCGATTTGGTAGCGGAAGAAGATTGCTAAACGGGGGACCGAACGCGGCTTACTTCGGGAGCCTGCAGAGGCTGATGCCGTACAATCTCGAATACGATTTCGCCGTGATTCAAGAAAGAAACGGATTGGACTCTCTGGAGCAAGACGCAACCCGAATGCAACAATATTGGGGTGTAGCCACGACCGAATTGTGATCTGGAACGAGCCGATATATCGGGGCTAGAACTAGCCCACGTTTTCCAGTATTCGATCAAACTGTCGTCCGGTGTTGAAATTGTGATACGATGTCGAAAGCTAAGCGTTATCAGTATTAACGATCGATACGAAACGTCGATAGATGTTTTCGACTGTCAACAAGAGGATTAGAAAACTGCCTTTTTCTTACGAATTCCATGTGATATACTGTAACCGATGAAACGACTGTCGTGGTTTGTATTATTTCTTGAGCCATACAACAAGTATTTTCTTTCGTCCACTCGGAGCCAACAGTACCACGAAACGAAGACGATGGAAGATATAAATAGAGTAAAACGTTATGTTAAGAGTATGTTCCAGACCAACATTGACACGCTTTAAGAACCGAAATGGTTCGTTGTACGTTCCAATAATGTCGAGTATATTAAACGTAGTTACGAAAATTTTGTACATAATGAACCATGTATTGTACTTTAGAATACACGTGACGTACATGTGAGGGAACGTGTTTGATTGTGACAACTGGTCGAGATACGTTATCGTACAGCCAAACTATCAACTGAACGCTCATCTTTAATACACCGATAGTTACTTGTAAAAATTTCTGTGTATCATAAAGGAAATATAAAATGCTCGGAACACGTAGCAGAGAGGAGTCGATGTTACGTGTAATGAAATCCAGCGACATCTGTGCCCGAACCTGCCATAAAATGATCGCCACTGTATCCTTGTTACAACAAACAAAAATCGTTCAATCGTTACGAGAACGCGAATATTCAACCGATACCATGATTCGTTGACCCGGAACTGTACATCGGTTCTGATCGTTTTGTACGATTTTTCAGCTTACGAGCGATAAATTAACAAGCATGTATTCCCAGACATCACACGTTATCTCTGTTTTTTTTCTCCATCTAACGCCTTAACGACGGCCTTGATAAACATTATCTTATTTGTCGAGCGACATTAAACTATCTTATTCCTCTATCGCAATAAACTCTTTTTACCAAATCCACGGTACAGATAAAACGAAATACATGTAAATAGTAGATCTTTTTAGCTCTTTAACATTAATCTATTCGCATACGATAGAGTCATTTAACTTACAACGTACAGGGTGCTCCCACTTGAATGGTGCATCCCGTGCAATCGGAAGCAATGCAGCTCACCGCTATTAAGATAAGGCATTAACAAGTATAAAACCGCAAACAGAAGGTTTGTGGAATATTTGTGCAAAGGTTTTAACTCTAACTCTTGATCTCGACAAATGTATCTACAACGATGATTTGTTATTTGTGCGACACCTTCTCGGTCAACAAAATACTTTCATCGAGTATCGAAAACGTATAATTAATAGATCGTGCTGTCTCAAGTATTACGTTATCTGTATCGCCAACATGTACTTTATAATCGCGAATAGCACTTGAAATTATCGAAGCCAGGCGATAAATTTCATTGTACCTGTAATCGTACGATTACTATGTACAGAATTTTATTTGTAATCCAATTAATCATAAGTGTCGTTGCGTAACGATAATTACTACCTTTAATCGAACGGACGTAAACAAATTTGCGTAAACGAAATGTTGCAGTAGCACTGCTCGAACAACGTACTCGTATGACGTTCATAAATAAAACGAACTCGTGACGTATGCGTCTGATTAAACTTTTCCATTAAACAAGAGACGCCTGCGATTGTAAAAATAAAATTAACCACACGTGTTTGAACCAGAAATCGCCGATCCGATAACGAACGCTCTTGAATATTGAACCTGCGCTGATAAAAAATCTGCTAAAGATCAGATCGAAATCTTGATCGCAATGTCCATCCTGAAATGTACGTGAATGCTCGAAAGAGAAAGATTGTTATCGACAGAATAAAGTGTCTCGGTTTGATAAATGTTTCTTTTTTATCAAGAAGAAATCATAAATCGTGATATATCGTCTAAGGAGGTATTCGTAATTTTATTAAAATTTTCAACGCCCCACGGTGCTCGTATGGAATTACTGTGCGCATATGTATAGTTTGGTCACGTGCATTCGCGGAAAAATGTCAGCAGAAATCGACAGGTATTAAGTTTTCGTGTGTATTCAAGCAAATTCGACCGTATTCGCTGAAAAACGTACACGCGAGTGAATTTATTCGCGTAAATTCAAAAGCTTCGGCTATCCTTCAAATTGTCCGATAAGTAAATGTACGTACGATGATTAAATTTTCTTGAATTTACAAGAAACACGTTTGATTCTCAATACACGAGTTTACGAGCGTTTCTCTAGGTGAAACGTAAATAAACAATGTTAACGAAATATTCGACTGTTTACGAATGCACGCGATACATGCAAGTGTTTGACGTGTCACAAGTATATCGACTTGTATAAACGTGGAACACAGTCACGTGCGTAGGTAAAGAGGGAAAAGAAAAGTGGGAGAGACGAGTGGAAGGGCTGTAGAGTTTGCATAACCTGATTGAAACTCGACGCGACCAGTCAGTAGTATCTCGCCGACGGTGAAGGTTACGTTATTGTATTTTTGGATGTTTCACTTTCGCTAATATATTCGTATAATCTCCCTCGAAACATCTGTAAGAGTAGTATTTTTCTCATCGCGATGTGTCTGCGTGCGTATCTGTTAGTGAAACACCGTGTGTTTACTTTTTATAGATAGTTCGTCTGCTATGATACCCATCCGAAGAAGAGCCTGATTCGGTGCACGTGTTGAAACCCAGTGAGTAACATATGTTACCAGCACTACATCTACCACCAAGCCGCTGTCACGAAAATACAGGGTGTCCCAAAAATGTTGGCGATCCTTGAAAGGGGTGGTTCGGGAGGTGATTCGAAACAACTTTTTCCTTTGCGAAAATGTCAGATGGGGCTTCGTTAAGTAGATATTAATAAAAAATATCCGACCAATCAGAGCGCGCGGATACCGTTGGAGCGGGCGCGGTAGCGAAGGCTACGCGCTGAGCGGCCGCGTCAATATCCTTCGATACACGTCCAGTCGCTTGTTCGCGTACGAGAGCGGCTACCTAGCGCGTAGCCATCGCTACCGCGGCCGCTCCAACGGTCTACGCGCGCTCTGATTGGTCAGTGTTTTCCGTTAATATCTCCTCAACGAAGCCTCGGACAACAATTTCGCTAAGGAAAAAGTTGTTTCAAATCACCCCCTGAACCACCCTTTTCAAGGACCTCCAACCTTTTTTGGGACACCCTGTATTTTTATTTTTTCACGCGTGACCAAACGTACGATCGTGTCAGTTTGTTTTCAAGGTGTGTTCAATCCTGCGTCTAACACTTTTTATTTCATTCCTGGAATTTCAAAGCCGATAAAGGCACGTTTCCGTCGAATGTGAACGATGAATCAATTTTCTGGTATCACATTCTTCAAAGAACTAAAAGATCAACGTATTCGCAGCACGTCTTTTTTACGTGTAATATTGAGTTTCGCAGATATCATATTTCAAGAAAACAAAAATATCTCGGACGTTGTTTCCATCGTGAAAGGGAAAAGAATCATTTTTGAATTTGATATCTTATTTCCGACCCGATCTCTTTAATCGTTTTTTTGCTCTGGTTATCGTTTCGAAAGAGACAAATGTTTTCGTAAAGATTTTTTACTGATCTACCCGAAGCCACGTCAAAGAAACAACAGGTTCCATTGTTTTCGAGTTTCGAGTATGGCTGTATGACTTGGGCTAAAAAAAATTATCTTTCCTTTTCGTAAAAAGCTTCCATTCCTAAATAAATGCTGTAAGTGAAGATTTCTCGACGATGGGGAACGAACGCGTAAACAAAGGAATAAATTTTTGTTATGGACTCTGAACTTGAACTTGATGTCTTCTCATAGGAAACACCGGACTCGGTAAACAAATGCATCCGATAGTCGCGAATAACTTTGCTGGTTTATGTTAGCTGACTATAACGATAAACTAGGCTTCCGCTAAAGCTGAAATTTATTATTTAGAAACTGATCTGTAAAACTCCCTGTGCCGTGTTACGTACTTGTGTAGTGGCTACGTATTTCTTGAATCGAATAAATGTCACGAATAATATGCTATACGTTCGTTTTATTCTCTATCTATTACCGAAATAAAGTTGTACCTATCGTTGCATTAAATGCAAATGCGACATGGCGACAAGTGATTGAATTACGACGTGTTTACTTTGCCTGTGTTCACGGGTGGTCTTATTTTCCACTCGAATATAAAATGTCTTTGTTTTCCGATTAACGAGCGCGCTATTCACTCGAAACATACACGGAAATAACAAAATGGTTGTGACCGCTGCAGATGTCTCAAGGTTGACGTATGAAAACATTTCTGCACGGTAAGAAAAAAAAAAATGATTGATCTATGGAATTTTCAAGAACGTAAATAAACCATAAGGGATTGCATTATTAATTGTAAAGTTATTCTCCAAATGCACCGATATAGGATAAAAATTACTCGTCTACGGTATGCCTCGTGATATGGCAGCAATTTCCTATAATTGCTCTTATTCACGTTGAAGTAATGCACGCCACATCATCTGTGCAATTTCAAGTGCTGATATTGCACAAGCACGGTTATCATACAAATGCAAAACTTTCGAAACGATTCGACATTAGTATCAAAAATAATAACGTGCTGTATTTACCGACTTTAACGCTTTACCGACTGCGGGCCTATTAATCGACTCTTTCCCATGGTAACCGATACTTTGTTATCTATTGCTAGAACGTCATTCCATAAATAATCCCATATATTATGAATAATAGATCAAATTAATATTTCTCATACTACTTTGATAAAAGATATAGTCTCGTGCTACTTTGATAAAAATAAAAAGTAATTTTAAATTTAGTTATATATCCGAACACTATCGGTCGGTAAGGTTTCAAATATGGCGTTGCGAATCGTCAAATTATCTAATCCCATAAACAGATGGCGTTCTTTGTACTCCAGAAATAATGTTACCATAAAATAATGTTTAATCAAAATTTACAGGTATCATAATTACTGAAAAGTAAGTATCATCGATTAATATCGATCGATAATTAATGAACCGTGTTATTAACGAGTATAGATGGTTATCATAAATCATGCGATAAAAGACGAATAGAATAGTTTCGACATTTATCGATAAAAGAAAGCCTGACGCGCAATAATTTCATAGCAATAAAAATGCCAGCGTGTGTATAATTACGAATATGAGGTGCACGTGTGCATCAATTATGATAGGACAATGGAACTCTATTAATACTCGTGTGTTGTAGGTTGTTTTTCTTCGAGTCCTTTTTGCACGCTTTGTTACGAATGCATCGCTATGCATATGTATATATGTATGTATAAAAACTATATGTATATATCTGCGTAATATACAAACTGAACAGATCGATAAGTAATATAGCTTGACTTTCATACAGCTTTATTGTTATGCAAAGTTCGTAATACGAAGGGTTTGAACTGTGTCCAACTGGGAAGATACTCCATTGCCAAATACGCAGATTTGTATACATACATATATAAAGAATCGTGTAAATGGATACGATGTACCTTTGCAATTTTGAAAAAAAGTAGAATAATCTCAAAGTGTAAAAAAATGTCGAAGATGTTGCGATAGGTTTAAACTATATTATTACTGTTACGTGAACTGTAAAGGAATCCAGTAAACCTCGCTTGACTAATTAGATTAAATGTATATATAATATCTATTAGAAGGTGTCGAATGCTACAATTTAATACAACAGACATTTCGCTGTTACTGAGCGAGCGGAATGATTCGCTCTATTCTAAGCAAAAAATAATTTACATCGTACATTAATCTTAACAATATCTTTAAAATCATTACCAGTATCCTTGTAGTGTGAAATGTATCAGTCGTCATTCTGCCGTTGAGTCGAATTTCCTCTTTTAATGCGTCACAACTCTTACCACAGGTCTTCCCCCATGATCGATGCGGACATTTCTTTAACGATTGATTTCCGGTTAGCTATTACCCTTCTTCCCACGAAATATATTAAAATTCAACTTTATCTCCACTTCCATATTAAAAGAACACAAAAGAATCTATAACACGAAACGAACACTGTCTCAATTTATTAAACATACTCGTATCACAAAAGCATCTTTATTCTGATATAATATTACGATTTTTTAATTTTTGTTCGTACATTTGTTCCATCTTTATATATTTCGGATACTACTACAATCAAAATGTCACCATAGTGGCAATACAAATTTTCACGGGGCTATTCAACTATATTTGTATCTTTAACACGCTTCATGCGAGCAGAAGTTTAGAAGTAATACTAAAAAATTCCTAATTTTATTAGTTAAGCACATGTATATATTAATACGTAAAATCACGAGAATAATCATGATTGAATAGCATTCGAGATTCTGTTAGTTTGAATTAGTATTTCGACTAAGCCGTCGTTGGCGTCACTTCCGTATTCACCGTGTTGCCAGATCATCCGCTGTGTTTCATCGAAGGAAATACGACTGCGGTGTTGTGCCCAGTAAACAGTAGATCGTTTAGTTGTTTCCGTTGTTTCGTGGCGGTTGAGATAGTTATGCTGTGTCGTCGCAAGATAAATAATGACAAATTCGATGGAAAATATGGAGCGCCTGCCTTGTGCGTTCGTTAAATAACTCGTACATCAACGCGAGGTGAAGACCAGACTGGCCACCAAGCTTCAAAATAAAATCCCATCGAACTTTACGAGTACAATAGGTAAACCACGTTTTCAGGGATAATTCGTGTCAGTATGTAAAATAATTCGTTATAGCAAGTGGACTTCAACCTTTTTATTTTCGATACTTTTCCTCCTGTCTATGCACGCTCGACATTTTCCTCGTTAGTCGTTTTTGAATCTTCTTTCAGTAACTTTTCCTGATATGGTACGACGTTTTCTTTATGACTTTAGAAAAATATTTCTCTTGTAAAAATTGTAGTTTTCATCTGTGTCATTCTCTGTATGTGCCGAGTCCATTTGTATTTGCATCTGTGTGTTATTAAATATATATTGAAGAAGGGCTGCTTATATTTTTGTCTATTGTTTACACATGTTATTTTAGTTCGATGATGAATTCCGTATCAAACAATCTGGAATATTTTTGATTGACAGAAAGATAATTGAGTATTATATTTGATATGGATCGGTATCCATCATTAATGTCATTTTTGTGTATATGTTATTACATTACACTTCACTGGCACAAAGTTTATTAATACCAGTATCCTGATACATTTCACATTGCAATGTACAAACTTCCTAGCATACCTTATAGCAAGTCCTTTATTACAGAATATAATCTGATGTGAATTGAACACACCTTGAAACACAGAAAATTGAAAGAGAAAAAAAAGTGAGAAAAAGAAAACATAGTAATATGCAGCGGATATGGTTTGTAGAGAACAAAGAGGCGGGGGAATCAAAGCAGCTAGAGGCACCACCGGACACTAACTTCATCGAGGTGGCGACTGAACAAACATCAGACATGAGGGGGTCTAAAAGAGATTGGATTTTTAGAGTCCAGGTGATTAATAGTAATTTCTTCTATAGTTAATAGTTTTAATATTTATGTTTATAAATTTGTTGTTTGCTTAGGTCCATAAGCTGGAAAAAAGTGAAGTTTTATATGTGGTAGGTAATTTACCTGAGCTGGGTGCTTGGAATCACAATCAAGCAGTACAGTTATCACAAGAACCTGGTAGTCGGGATTCTCCTATGTGTTTTGATAATAATGGTAGCGGGGAATATTATAGTGATGATGGACTTAATGCAGCAGACATGTTTAGGAATAGAGATGACGAGTAAGCCAATATCAAATTTTTAACACATTCATAAACATATATCTGATATAAAGTATATGTTAGTTTATGATTATATAATTTTGTATTAATATTGAATTTTACAAATTTCAGAGGTGGGCAAATATTTTCACAAAAAATTGCACTTCCCATTGATACTGATATAGTATTCCGATATTTTGTTGCTGTAATCTGTCAATCTAATGGTACTAAAAATTCGGCCAAGACTCTCCTTATTCGCAGATGGGAGACTCATATGATACCGCGCGTTGTTAAGAAAAACAGTACGTAATTAAATAAAAGAAAACAATTATTTATAAAATGATACTTTAAGTTTAAGTAAATAATTTGTTACAGCACCCAGTAATTTTACCGGCGACTCATTACCGGATCCAGACAAATTTGGTTATTATAATGGCTACTGTAAAATTGAACGCGGCTGGTTGACCGATGAAACTGTGATACAATTTAAGATTTTTAATAACCCAATTAAACTATGGAAAAACCGATTACAAAATAAAAAAGTTTACATTAAAGTACGTATCCTCTATTTGTATTGTTCATTCGTCAGTTAATATTTAGAAATCGAAAATTAAGATGTATTTTTGTTTTAGATGACACCCGTAAATCTAGTTAGACACAATTCTCTAGAATTACAGCAATTCGGAGGCGAGAATGTAGATGATAGTCTTTCTATGGATACGCAAGATGTTGTTGATCAACCTGCTTTTAGTATTACAGAAATTGCTGTACGTATCGTTCTATTATTTTTTGTGATAATTAATACTTACTTCAAAATTTTTTAAAGCTACAAGTTACTGAAATTTTTAGGTGATGAACGACGATGAGGCTCGCTACAAGATTCAGGAACAATTCGGACGAGCTTACGACGAAGACGACTTTATTATCTTCAATGTCGCAGTTCGGTATCCTGAAACTATCGTAAGTAATTGCATAAAAAATCCCATCAAGAAGTCATCGTAAATACACAACTCGATGAGTTAACCATTGGTTGGTATTTATTGCTTGCATCGCTCGTAATTCTTGTAACATGTATTATGTACTTAGGATAGATCTTCGATTTTTATTCCGAAATCAACATTTTCCGTCTACTGTACACACAGTTCAACAAAGGGAACATCAAAGGCATTGTCTTCGGTAATATATCGGGTAGCGCTATAAAAAAGAAACCTTGTCTTTCGGGATGTCACGTTGGCATCGATGACAAAAGTACATCTTCGTTTAATGTATATAGCACACAAATGAGTAAAAAGTCAATTCAAAGAATGTAGGCTTGGCAGAGCAATAAATGACGAACTAGTGGTAATTCATGAGAAAATTAGATACACTAAAAATACGCATTGACCATACCATGTGAGTTTTCAGTAGACCACCAGTAGGCTGGCCACGTCTTCTCTCACGACTTGTTCAAATTACTTGGTAAAAGATAATTAAACTTGTTCAGCAGCTATTGCCCTCCTCGGATACCAGAAGCGATGTCACGTGCACTGGCCTGGAACGAAGACAACCGTCAGCTTTGTACAAAGCAAGACCTCTGGTGCAAATGACGATGCTAACATGCAATCCGATGTATCGATGCTAAGCATCGACTACCACTTTACATCTGTGTCACATGACATCACACAGAGATATGATGGTTTTGATTGTCGTTCACCCTACCGCACCCATCCTAGGGCTGGTCTCTCGTAAATTGATCGAAAGTACGTTATTTTTCAATTAAAAAAACTCTTTCGAGTAATAGGTTCATGCGATTTATTGGTAACACGATATCGGTTTACGCGAGTAGCAGCTGTCCTAAACGATCCTAAAAATTTAGAGATATCAACGCTGTCACACCTCATATCCATCTGTGTGCGTCGAAAATGGTGAGGCTCCCATCACTCCTATATCCTTTTAGTGTACTACTAATATTTTCTAGCTTTGACCAACTCTACTGTACCGTACGTGACACCGCTGCGCGACCAATGCCAGACTAAGCTGTCAGAATCTTCTGAATCTGAATTGCAAACTTTCCAGACATGATATTGAAATTTATTAATGAATGATCGGCAGGTGTTGCGGGATACGCGTCCCCGAGCAGAGTACAGCATTTAGCCATTATTGGTCTGGTTCATTGCTAGATTATGTAGGAAGTAAATTATCGTACTTTGTTTTATAAACCACTAGTGAAATTTGTTGCTCTTGCCTTCAAATTATTTTAAACTGCCAAACAAAACGATATTCACGGAAAACCCAAGAGATGTACGAGTGTCTCAAACAACGTAGTTTAATTCCTACGCTTTCTAGTGATCAAGGATCGTAAATAATGTGCCGTAAATTCTGACACATCTATTAGAATTTCTAATTTCATTATTTCTCAATACAGAAAAATGTAGAGAAAGATTCTTCAAACCGAATGACCTTGATCATTGGATTTAATTAATGTCGAAGCAAGCTCTATAACGGATGAGCAATAAATACTGATGCAAGCATTTGGTGTTGTTGTGAATAGTAGTATTTTTCCATGAATATTAAGTACACTGTTTTTTCAGGCATATTTAGTGGACTACTACGTGTACAGCTCAAGGTGTTTTCAAGGAGAACCACCAAACCATATCGGTTTCAGCTACATCTTGCCTAGTACATTGCAATCTAGCGTAGGGCTTTTAACGGTACCAATTACAAGCACAAAACATAGACCAATTGGTAGGATGTTAATTTAAATTTTTACTCTTCGATTTCATGTAAAATCACGAGGAATTATTACGAATGATTATATCGTAGGACAACTTACGGTTGAATATGTTGTAATAAAACCAATTCCGGATTATCCATGGGATATGAGTATTTCGTATGCAAAACATTGGGAACAACGTTGGTCTGGTCTGGATGTCGGTCACAGAGGGCTAGGTACATCTTTTCAAACAAAAAAGTAAGCTACCAGACTTTGAATATCGGGGAAATTTATATATTTCTAAAAATTTTGTTCTGTTATCTTTTCGCAGTTGTGCAAATGTACGTGAAAATACAATAGCTTCTCTAAAAACTGCATCGCATCATGGCGCAGACATGGTCGAATTTGATGTTCAATTATCCAAAGACCATGTACCTGTTATTTATCACGATTTCTATGTATCCATTTCGTTAAAACGCAAGAAACAAATAGAAGCTATGGACATGCTGGAAATACCTGTCAAGGACCTTACATTAGAGCAGCTACATTTATTAAAGGTATGTTCT